CCCCCCCCCCCCCAAAGTTTAATTTCAGAGACAATCTGAGCTTTTTAGTAATTCTGAATTCCAGCTCCTTTATAGTCATTAAATCATTTAAAAACTGTAGGAAACATTAGGAAAGAGCATGATAACCAATATAATAACCTGTCGGGTGTGCTCAGCATTAACTGTTTGCAAAGCCCTGTCATATACACAGTCCAGGGCCACACCCAAGGGACAGCAGGTAAAGATGCCTGACGCCTCAGGTTAAAGCAGCCTCATAATTCTGAGCACAGTTGACTCGGAAGAGGTGAGGGGCGCTGACCCCCACACACAGTGGAAAATTCACAGACAACTTTCAAATCCACCGAAAACTTCAATCATACCTCAGAATCCGCGGGGGGATTGGTTCCAGGACCAGTCCCCCCTGCGGATACCAAAATCCATGCATGTTCAAGCCCCTAATAATAAATGGAATAGACCAGTGCATACAGTTCGGCCCTCCGCATCCGTGAATTCCAAGCCAGGGATCAAAAATACCATTTTTCCATCAGCGTTTGGTTGAATCTGTGGATACAAAACCCAGGGATGCGAATGGCCGATTGTATACAGGGGTGGGCAAAAGTAGGTTTACAGTGGCAATACACATACAATAAATAAAAATACAAGAATTAACTCACATACAACTGTATTTATTGAAAAAAATCTGCATATAAATGGACCCGAGCTGTTCAAACCCATGTTGTTCAGGGGTCAACTGTACTGAGATTATATATTAGGTTTTTGTATTTATTTCTAACTTTCTATGTTTATATCATATTTAAATAATTTCTTAATGTTCATTGGTATCCTGTCTCAAATAAAGAGCTCTATTTTTAGAGAAAAAGGCAGAACTGAATGGAAAAGTGTGTGCTTTTATTTCTCAAAGGCTCCTCACCACTCCGCTAGCTGTTTAGACCACAAGGGGTTGGGTCCCCAGCCACTGACCCAGAGACCAAGATTTCAGAGTACAAAGCCCTGCAGTCGTTCCAGTAGGGGAAGCCACACAAGAGGAAGGACAGCCAGTCTAGGTGCAAAATCAAGCAGGTCACTGCCCCGGGCAACTGGGGCCCTGTCCCCCTGAGGAGCATTGGGAGTTCAGTGTTGGACACCCCCCAGGTTTGTCTGCCAGGGGCAGGAGCTGGGGAATCGATCTTCCAGATCTTGTCAGTCCTGTGCAGAGGGCTGCTCCCTCCCAGAGAGTTGCAGGTACTTAACAGTTGGAATCCATCAAGGTGAGCACCAGGGGGTGGGGGCAGGACACCCACATCACCTGCTACAGTGAGGCCAGAGCTGTGCCCACCACCCTGGCAGCTCACCCTACTGCAACTCATGGAAGGATACAGAGCATATTCAGCTTCTGGCCTTGCAAACCCAAACTCATTCCAGTAGATCGCTAATGGATCCTGTCAGGCCACCTGGTAACCACCCAGATTGTCACCATTTACTGATGCCATCGCAGGCACTAGACCCAAGCTGAGCTGACCCAAGTCCCTTTCCCTGGAATTCAGAAGTCTTCCTGGCTGGCTGAGCCTGGACCAGGTTCCAACCTACTACTGCCCAACTTTCCACTCTGAGAAATGGGAAAATCAAGTGTGCGGAAGAGACGAGAATGAGGCCGCCACGAAGCTGCTGAGATGAGAAATGATCAACCCTGCTTCTGATCCATTCTTGCAGCCCAGTGGCAGCCCTGTCATTGTCAGCTTCCCTGCAGCCCAGTTTTAAGCCATCTCCCAGGACCTATTACATACAACCAAATGTCCTTGCCAATCCACATTATGTGCATATGGCAGCTTGTGGTCAGGTTGGGCATCTGCCCCCTTGGATGGGTGTGCAGTAGGTCCTTTCCAGAACACAGGGCAGAACTTCCTCTGCAGGTGACCCCCAGCTGCCTCCCACCCTGCCCTCCGATGCCAGGTCACCTCTGAGCTGCTCTTGGCCTGTTGGTGGCAGCTTCTAGATAGTGGTGGGTTGGCAGGGCTGCTGGGTCACACAGGTTCTTACAAGAACAGTGCTCAGGGGGCTGGGAGAGGGGAGGTTTGGGGTAATGGATGTCACATCCTTAGAACTCCTTTAGGGAAGGGACTGTTTTGCTCCTGGCACCAGCACCTGGCCCACGGTGGAAGCTTGGTATTGAATCAGCGAATGAAGGAATGATGTATGAATTGATGTACGAATTGGAGTCAGTAAGGAGCTGGCTGTGGCCGACTTATATTTTTATATGACTAACAGGAATTATGAGGGCCAGAGGTCTTGCGTTAGAGGATACCATCTCAGATCCCAAATTCTTGTCACACGTGGATGACTGCTCTTCCTCAGCCCAGCATCTGGCCCGAGGTGAGGCCATCAGTGCTGCTCAGAGAGGAAAATGGCAAGGGAGGGGCCCAAGTGGGAGCAGAACAGCACCTGATCCCCTGACGGTAACTGTTTTTCGTATATCTTAGCACTTGGTGGATGGCTGCTTGCTTACATCTCCCTTGAGCTCATTCCTGTGTGTACAATGTGATAAAAGGGGGAGAAAAAAAAGAAAAAAAACACAGGCCAGAAGTGACATCTCTATCTAATGAGTGAGTCAGATTCATGAGTCAGTTACTCAAGAGCTACTGGTTGCCGCCGGGACCCACTGCAGCCCAGGGAGCCCCACCTCTTGGCATGTGATGATACAGGATACAGAGGTGACAGCTTCTATTGCTTGTCAAGACTCTTTTTCCCCCTTGCTGCCTCTCTAGGTAGGCGAGGAGGAGAAGCTGGGCATCCCGAGGTGGGAATGCCCCCGCGTATATTCTCCTGGTGGGAACAACCTTCAGCAGGTGGTGGGAGGCCCCTCCAGGGGCTGACGCCTTCAGGGTGAGTCTCACTGGGTCTTGCACTGCATGCCTCCCCCCACCCAACTCTAAGCCTCAGCTTCTCTGGGCACTAAATGGACCGTCTGGGAAGCCAGGTCTCAGCAGGGGCTCAGCATCCCGCCCCCACTCCCATGTCTGAGCCTTCATGGACACCCTTCTTCTAAATAATCCTTACTCAAGCTCAATGCCTAAACTCCGGGGTGCTATGCCCGCAC